TCTCACCACATCAGGTGCTCACCCCATCCACCCAGACTGCACTTTCCAGCCTCAATGAATCACTTGTGGTTGACTGACCCATCAGGCTATCTGTCCCCAGATTAAAATTATTTTCTTACCTGTCCAAATGAAACATTTATGCTTCAATACTCAATTCAACCTCTACCTCTGCGAAGCCTTTCCTGACTTCCCTGCGAGAAGTTACCACGCTCTCCTTTACGGCTCCATCCTAGATTTGACAGCCCTAAGTCTCTTGTATACGCCGTGGACTGAGGGAAGGTGTTTTCTTGCTTTTTTGTTTTACCTTGTTTTTACTTTGAAATCAAACTTGGGTAAGCAGCTACTGTAAAAGCTAGCCTGGAAGAGAATTATACTCTGGGCACAGACGCGCTCAGAACGCCTCCTCCCTGAATGTGTGTGTGTTTGACCACACTGTGCTTATCGTTGTTTTTATTACTGTGCTTTAGATGAAGGTTTACAGAGCAAGTTAGTTTCTCATTAAACAATTAATACATATATTATTTTGTGACATTGGTTGCCAACCCAACATGTCAACACTCCTCTTCTCAACCTTGGGTTCTCCATTACCAGCGTTCCTGTCCCCTCCTGCCTTCTTGTCCTTGCCCCTGGGTTGGTATGCCCATTTAGTCTTGTTTTGTTTCATGGGCCTGTCTAATCTTTGGATGAAGGGTGAATCTCAGAAGTGACTTCATTACTGAGCTAAAAGGGTGTCCGGGGGCCATACTCTCAGAGTTTCTCCAGTCTCTATGGGATCAGTAAGTCTGGTTTTTTTTTGTGAGTTAGAATTTTGTTTTATGTTTTTCTCCAGCTCTGTCCAGGACCCTCTATTGTGATCCCTGTCTGAGAAGTCAGTGGTGGTAGCCGGGCACCATCTAGTTGTACTGGACTCAGTCTGGTGGATGCTGTGATAGTTGTGGTCTGTTAGTCCTTTGGGCTAATCTTTCCCTTGTGTGTTTGGTTTTCTTCATTCTCCCTTGCTCCCAAAGGAGTGAGACCAGTGGAGTATCTTAGATGGCTGCTCACAAGCTTTTAAGACCCCAGATGCTACTTGCCAAAGTAGGATGTAGAACCTTTTCTTTATAAACTATGTTATGCCGATTGAGCTAGATGTTCCCCGAGACCATGGTCCCCAGCCCTCAGCCCAGTAATTTGGTCTCTCAAGGAGTTTGGATGTGTCTATGGAGCTTCCATGACGTTGCCATGGTCAAGTTATGCTGATTGCCCAGTCCTGAGTACTGTCTCTTCCCTTTGCCAAAGTTACCGCCTATCTATCGTCCAGTTAGTGTTTCTCCCTCTCCCCCACACTGTGTTTTTATCATAGAACCAGGCTGTGAGTTTGCAGACCCTCAGTGTCACGCAGTACTTAAAGGTCATCTTGTCCAGTCATCATCCTGGTGTGTGCATTTGTTCCGTATCAGCCTCATCAAATGCTCCAACACCTTCAACAGGCAGCTCACTCCTCTGAAAACAGTCTCTTCCCTCTTGAGACAGAAAGTTATTCCTTGCAAAGGGCCCAAGTCTCTCTCTCTGGAGCTTCCACTTGTGACTCCTAATGGTTCCTAGCTGACAAAGAACAAACCTAAACCCTCTCCCACAGCACTGCCCTTCAGACACTTGACAAGAGTGGTCATGTCATCCTGGCCCTAAAACAAGAGGTTAGAAAACGGACGTAGGGTCGTAACCTGTTCTCAGGAAGATACGCATTGCACAAACAAACAAATGAATGAGGCAGAGTCGTGTGGGTGTTTCAGATATTGTGGACGAAGGAGTGGGAGCTGAAATAATAGTGACAAATTTTAGTTATGGCTGACATTGGCTAGTTTTGATATAGATGACTGAGAAGGTTATCTAAGAAGTCTGTCTTCTCAAATTCAGGGTAAGTCACGATTAACACCAATATTATCAATGCGGGGGGCAGAAGTGAGGGGCAGCAAGATATTTTTAAAATTTAGTTATTTTCAGAACTTAATCTTTTAAAATATTTGTCATATTTTCTGAGACTGACTGAAGCTAATCTTGAAATCTGTACTCAAACCTAACAGTATCGGTGATGACTCAGGGAGATACAGGTGGAGTTGGTGTTGAATCTTATTTAATGTGCAAGACTATGAAGCTGAGTTTTCTTTCTCTCTCTCTGCTCTTTCTATTCATGTTCCTGTGTTGACCACAAATAGACCACAAATAGAATACAATAATAACAAAGATGTGGTTGTGGATTGAATTGTGTCCCCCCAAAACGTGTGTCAACTTGGCTGGGCCACCATTCCCAGTATGGTGTGGTTGTCCACCATTTTGTGATCTGACGTGATTATTCTATGTGTTGTAAATCCTAACCTCTACGATGTTAATATATAATAAATAATAGTAACAGTAATAAAATAATCACAAGGAACAATTGCAAATGAAAATAAAACATTTATAATAGCATCAAAAATTTGGGGGTAATGGAATTGTTATATATCACAAATGTGGTGATCCTTACATGATTATACAACCAAACCCAACCAAACCCGTTGCCGCTGAATTGATTCTGACTCATAACGACCGTATAGGACAGAAGAGAACCGCCCCATATGGTTTCCAAGGAGCGGCAGGAGGATTCAAACTGCCAACCTTTGGGTTAACAGCCGAGTTCTTGACCATGTGATTGATTATATACATGTATTGAAATTCAGAGAATTACACACTTAAAATTAGAGAATTTTATTGTACGCAAATTATACCTCAGCCATCAGCAAGAGAGAGCACACCTACTATGGGCCAGGTTCTAGGAGCTGAGGATACAGGAGGGAGCAAAACAAAGTGTTTTCATTGGAGCCAACTTTCTCGTTGCAATGAGGCATCCAGCAGGGAGGTGAACTTGAAGGCTATGCAGTCATCCAGGCTACCCATGACGGAGCCTCTGATAGAGTGGCAGTGGAGGTGTGAGAGACAAATTCTGGATCTGTTTCTAAGGCTGTTGTCATTCTTAGGTGCCCTCCAGTCGGTTCCAACTCATAGTGACCCTACGTACAACACAACAAAACACTGCCTGGTCCTGTGCCATCCCCACAATCCTTGTTATGCTTGAGCCCATTGCCGCAGCCACCGTGTCAATCCATCTCATTGAGGGTCTTTTTTTCGCTGACCCTCTACTTTACCAACCATGATGTCCTTCCCTAGGGACTGGTCCTCCTGATAACATGTCCAAAGTACATGAGATGAAGTCTCTCCATCCTCATTTCTAAGGAGCATTCTGGCTGTACTTCTTTCAAGACAGATTTGTTCATTCTTCTGGCAATCCATGGTGTATTCAATATTCTTTGCCAACACCATAATTCAAAGACATCAATTCTTCTTTTGTGTTCCTTATTCATTGTCCAGCTTTCCCGTGCGTATGAGGCAATAGAAAACACCATGGCTTGGACTGCTGGTCCACGGGTGTTGATTGTGGATCCAAGTAAAATGAAACCCTTGCCAAAAACTCTTTGCCATCGAGTTGATTCCAACTTATAGCGCCCTATAGGACAGAGAAGAACTGCCCCATAGGGTATCCAAGGCTGTATTCTCTATGGAAGCAGACTGCCACATCTTTCTCCTGCAGAGCAGCTGGTGGGTTCAAACCCGACCTTTCTGATAGCAGCCCAGAGCTTAACCACTTTGCCACCAGGGTTCCTTAAGGTAGGGACAACAGAGGTGCTAATGGATGTGAAAAGAGAGAAGTCTTCCAGGTTTTTGGAGTGAGCAGCTGAAATGGTGGAGTTATCACTTATTGAGATGAAGCAGATGGCAGGGAATTGGAGTCAGAGCTGTTTTTGAATATGTTAAATCTGAGGTCCCTAGGTGGTGCAAGGAGCTCGGCTGCACCCACAAGTGCGCAGTTGGAATCCACCAGGCGCTCCTTGGAAACCCTATGGCGCCGTTGTGCTCTGTCCTGTAGGGTCGCCATGAGTCGGAATCGACTCGACGGCAACGGGTTTGGCTTTTGGTTGGTGGTGCAGACGTTTGTCCTTCCTTAAACCAAATCCATTGCCATGGAGTCAGCTCTAACTGTCCCAGGGAGTTTCCGAGTCTGTAATCTTTACGGAGCCGACTGCCACAACCTTCTGCAACAGAGCACTGGTGGGTTGGAACCGCTAACCTTTCAGTTCTCCACTACTAACCTAAATAACGGTGGCTCGAACCCACTCAGCCATGCTGTGGAAGAAATGCCTGGCCATCTGCTTTCTTAACAGATTACAGCCACAGTCCCTACGGAGCAGTTCTATTGTGTAACACATGCGGTCGCCATGAATCAGCATGGATTCTGCGGCAACGGGTTTGATTTTTTAATGTCTATTAGACATTCAAGTGCAGGCGAGGAAGCAGTGGGATAGTCGAATAGACTCCACAGCACTGGGTTTGGGTTTTTAGTACCAGTCTGGAGTTCAGGGGAGAGGGCTGGGCTGGAGACGTAAATCTCAGGTGCAACAATAATACGTTTAGCAACACAAAAACAGTCCTCCGAGCACTCCTGCTTTATCATGCCTAATGCCAACTCTGGCAATTGTTCTTGCTGCAACCTGTTTGCGAACTGCGCAGCTTTACCTCACTCATTTTCTACAACTTCCCATGCCCAAAAAAGGAACGATAAAAGTAAGTCAGGCTCTGATCTGTTAAGACTCCTCTGGATTCTCTTCCATAACCTGCTTTTACACCAGAACACTGCGCCACGCGGGCGCCCTGGCTTCAGCGCTTGCACGCCCAGGCCGTTTGGCGTCACGCATGTCAATCATCCGGAGCCCGAGTGGTGATTGGTGGAGGGCGGTCGGCGGTGGGGCGAGCCCTGGAGCCCGGACCCTCTGCGCGTTGGGAGCCCGTTTGAGCCGCGGCTGCTACGGGACCTCGGCCGCGAACCCGGAAGGAGCGGCCAATGGTTGTGCTCGCATGCGTGGGTGGCTTAGCCGCGCGCGCTGCCCTCGGCTTCCCGGCCTGCAGGCTAGGTAAGGTCGCCTAGGCCTCACCGGAGAGAGGGCGCCGGGCCGTGGCTGCAGAGGGCCGCGCTCTCGTCCGGGATGATCGCGTGGGGAGGAGCCGGGACTCTGGCCACGCGCGCGGCCGTTGCGGCGCTGCTCTTGTCCGCGCTGGCGCTCTACTGGCTGCCGCTGCGCGCAGGTACTCTCGGCCCCGGGGCCCTTTCTCCCCGGCGGGAGGCCTGTCCCTTTTCCGTGCGGGCGACACTAGCAAGGGAGCCGCCTGCGTGCGAGGCCGGGGAGCATCTGGGAGGCGCGCCGCCAGGGTTCCCGGAGACGCCGTCAAGAGCGCCCTCGGGGTGGCGCGTTGGGAGCGCGGCTGGAGCAGAGTGAGGCGCCCCCGGGGGTGCTCCCCCTGCTCTGGGCGCGATCTTGCCGAAGGCCGGCCAGTCGGGAATTTCTGCACGGGTGCACCCCAGAGAGGCTGGGAGAGGCGGCGCCTCGGCCTGTCACCCGAGCAGAGGCGGGGATGTCGGTGCGTGAGTGGCACCGGAGGGTGGAGGGAAGCGGCGGGTAAAAGGAGCGGGCGCGTTGGGAAGGGTCGCGGCGACCGCAGGTGCACAGCTGGGCACGCGCCAGGAGGTGCATCCTAGTGGCGCGGGGCGCCGGCGGCAGAGGGAGGGTGTTCGCGCTCCTGGAGAGGGGAGCTTTGATCGCCGCCGCGCGCGCCGAGAGCCGGGCCCCGGCAGGCGCTAGTCCGGCCGCCGGAGGCTTGTGGTCCGAGCGACAGAGCCCGCGGGAGTGACCAGCTGCTGGGTACGCGGGGCCTGGGGCCGTCCAAGCGCAGCCAGCGGGCCTGGCCGCGGGGTCGTCGCGGGGCGCCCTCGCCTCACGGTGGATTTGCATGTGAATGGGCTGCGGAGCGCTGCTCGACACCCCTTTTAAACTTTGTTTCCGCGGCGGGCGGAGCACAGTGAGGGGCGGCCAACTCCGGCCGGGGTCACCGCAGTCTAAGGAGAAATGTGAAGCGCAGCAGGGTGCGCGTCGATAGCTCCTGGCGCGTGGATTTGGAGGTGTCCCACTCTGCCCGGCGAAGGGTCGCTGTTTTGTCTAGCTTTTCCTTCCCCTGCCCTTGCCCCGCTCGCGGCCCCTTTGTGCGCGCCCACCCAGGCTAAGATGATGATCGCCAGCACCCGGGGCTTCCTGTGGTCCGACCTGGAGACGCGAGCCCTGCTGGGCATCTGGGGCGAAGCGGGCGTGCAGTCGGCGCTGGACGGCATCTTTCGGAACAGCCATGTGTACCGGGACGTGGCGTGCAGACTTGCCCAGATGGGCTTCGACCGGACCCCCGAGCAGTGCCGCATCCGCATCAAGGGCTTGAAGCGCCAGTATTACCAGGCAAAGGACCGGCTCCCCAGGGGCGGGCCTGCGCGCAAGTTCTGCAAGTTCTCCGACGACGTGGACCGTATCCTGGGCGCCCGCGCCGCCGCCAGGGGCCCCGCGAACCCCACAGCGGGAGACCGGGATGGTCGGGACCTAGGCGGCCAGGAAGGACTTGCCTGGCGAGGGCTTCTCCTTCGCCGAGCATCCGGTCACGGTGGAATGTGCGCCCTTCGCCGTCCCGGTGCCGCCTGAAGATGGTTAGTGCAGCCCTGGGCCAGGGCCTCGGTGTGTGTGTCTGTGCAGCCCTGGGCCAGGGCATATGTGAGCGAGCGAGCGAGCGAGCGCGCGTCCTTGGGAAGGGTTACCCCAAGAGATCCTGTGACCAGAGAGTTACCTAGGCGCCCAGAAGACTCTCATCCCTGACCTTGGTTTTTGGGCCTTAGAATTCCTCAGTCGGTCCCTGAACTCTGAGATGCTTTTCAGATGGGATGAGCTATGCAGGAAGAATTTAGGCATAAACTGAACACGCGGATTTTAATTGTTTGGGGGCCCCATACCTCCACACGTGATTTCCTCTTTTCCTCTACCCTGTGAATATGAATTTATCCAGTATTTTTTATGAAGCTAAATGGCTTATGTGTTGTATGTCATTCCTCACGAGGTGGGGAGATTGCTGTTACCCACCTTTGTAGAGAAGACAAGTGGAGCCTTGGTGGTGCCATGGTTAAAGCGCTCAGCTGCTAACTGGAAGGTTGGTGGTTAGAACCCACCAGCTGCTCCATGAGAGAAAGATGTGGCAGTCTGCTTCCATAAAGACTTACAGCCTTGGGAACCTGTGGGGCAGTTCTCGTCTGTCCTGCAGGGTTGCTGTGAGTTGGAGTCGACTCGAACTGGCGGTGGGTTTTCTTTCGGCTCGTCTTAAATTTGCACGCTTGTGATTGGTTAGCAAGATTTGTGTTTGAGCTTGTTTCAGGTGTCATTACGAGACTGACTTGCTAAGCTTTTACCAAAAAGTAGAGCTAGATCGCTGACTTGGCACCCCAAGTTTTAGGAGGTACCATAGAGTGTCTCGGTTGGATGAAGGGTTTCTGTGACATGCTGAGTTAGTTAGAAATCCACGTTCATTTACAGCATCTTTGGCACAGAGAAGCATGATGACGGTATGCAGAGCTGTCCCTGACAGGTAACCTAGAAAACGGCCCGGACTCAGAACTCCCCCTCATTCTCTAGCGCTCCTCGGCCAGGTGTCTTTAAAGCTAACCAAAAGCAGACAAACCGGACCTGTCTTTCCAGGCTCAGAATTGTCCTAAAAACAAAGTTACTTAGGGGGAATTTTAAGTTGCCTCTTGTCAAGGCCTTTTTATCCTTTAGAACACTGATGTTTATATTTAAATGTTGTGAGTAACTCCAAATGGTGCCTATCAGTAAGCCAGCTGGAACTTCTGATTCACTAAGTGTTGTTGTTAGGTGCGGTCAAGTGGATTTCTACTCACAGCGACCCCATGTGACGGAGTAGAACTGCCTATAAGGTCTTCTAGGCTGTAGTCTTCACAGGAGCAGACAGCCAGGTCTTTTTCCCACAGGTGCGATCTTTCTGTTCGCTGCTGAGCACTTAACCCTTGTGCCACCCGGCCTCCTTTACTAAGTGTAGGGAAATCTAGTTGACCTTCCTTTGCCCCTTTCACTAATAGAAGGTGTTTCTCTCAGGCGAATGGGACAGATGTTTGTGCAGGTCAGATTTATACTTGCCGTTCATGCAAATCCAGTTAACAAGTTAACAGTTAATAAGTGGTGTACTTCTTGACGGTGATTTTTATTTTTCCTCCTAAATGGCTCCAGAGGACATTTGTGAAGGATTTGACTTTTCGTTTGGCTGGTGGGGTGAATATTTATTTGGTTGAGGAATTATTTCTTTTGCCTTAAAATGTTAGCCTTCCGGTCACATGGTGTCTTCTGGTTCGGCTTGTCCGTTCCTAACGGTGGTGTCTTCGCAGGGCTGTCTCTCTGGGCCTTCGTTTCTTTATAAAAGAGGGATAAACTGGCTGTTAATGAGAAGACTGGACTAAGATGCCTTTAGTTTATCACACATTTACTGAGGGTTTTAGTCTGAGTAAGGCACTATTAGACGCACTTGAGGGTCAGGGAACAAAACCAAATCCAGTGCTGTCGAGTCGATTGCTACTCACAGCGACCCTGTAGGACAGAGTAGAACTGCCCCATAGGGCTTCCAGGGAGCGCCTGGTGGATTCCAATGGCCGACCTTTTGGTTACCAGCCGAGCTCTTAACCGCTGCGCCACCAGGGCTCCAATGGAGGGTTTGTTGTTAGGTGCCATCAAGTCGGTTCCAACTCATAGTGACCCTGTGGTGGAGGGGCAGGGGGGCAAACATGGAAAAGACCTGAACCCTGCCTTTAAGCCGTAGTCTGGGAGAGGCACCTCATTCTGTGTAGGCAAAGGGAAACATATCTACCAGTTCAGGTACGAAAACGCCCTTGTTTATGTCCATTCCATCCCCCATCACGTAATTTTCTGTGTGTTTGAAAGTCTCAGAACTTCACGTGTAATAACAGTTCCTTTACCTTTAGTAGCTATTTAAGTACACAACAAAAAGCTACTATCAACTCAGTTATGCTTTTAAAATAATTTAAAACTTGACCCATGTTTGAAAGGCAGTTTTTGACACGTAAATCTTCAAACGCTCTGTTGACGGAGGAGCCTTGCTGTCCTCGAGGATTTCTAGACTCTTTCCTTGCAGTGACATCACAGCCCGTAAGCTGGGACCACGGATAAAGTCTGAACAGAGTATTACAGCTTAACAGAGGAGGAAGAGATGGGTTTTGCATACTGTGGGTCAGTCAGGTTGCTATGAAAACGATTGCATTTGCGTACTTTTGGCTCCAAAATATCACAGTTCTATTTGAGATAAAGTAATCGTTCAAAACAGGATCCCCCTCACCCCGTGTTTTCTGTCTGCGTATTGTAAAGTTTGCTATGTGAATGCAATATGAGTTTTTACACAATCAGAATATGTATTTTTGTTTTATGGAAAATGGGACTTTAAAATTTGTTTTTTAAATGATTAACTGCTGTAGAGATTTATCTGCTGTAGTGGGTCAAATGCTTCCATGTTGTGTTATTTAAATCCCTTGTTATCTTACCGTTTTAATAAAGTGTATATCAAAGTGAAGGCAGAATGACAGTCGGCACACTTGTTATTTGAGTAACAACAAAAGTCATTGTTTGCTTTAAAAATGGTAGGCTTTCAGCACATGGGCACTGAGAACAGCACACCTCCTCTTTCTCAACCAGAAGGGTCAAAAAGGCGCTGTATCCATATGCCCCCGGACAAGACGATGGGGAAACGTTGGCAGCAAAGAGTGGATTCAGGAGAGAGGTTTTTCAGATACGAGGAGCAGAGGCTGAAAACGGAGGGCAAGCACCGGGAAGCAGAGTGTGCCAGAGCGCTCCAGATGCTGCAGATGTTGGGGCAGCGTTCTCTGGGATTTCCTGGGTTGTCTCACAGAGGGCGCAGTCCAGGCCACCAAGCCCACCACAGCAGACACACCACTGGGCGTATGAAGATGACATTAGTTTTCATGCTATGACAGCGGCTCTTTCTCCTCCGCTAGGTACTGCATTTTGACACGTGATGGCTTAGTTTTGTATCAGATCGTTTTTGTAATATTTGTTTTGTTTTTTTTTTTCTGGGCTATGAGGCAAAGTACAAACAAGTAGTTAAATATTGGTTCATGATAAAAAAACAAACCCGTTTTGACTCACGGTGACCCTTTAGGACAAAGTAGAACTGCCCCGTAGGGTTTCCAAGGCTGAAATCTGAGTGGAAGCAGACCGCCACATCTTTCTCCCACAGAGCAGCTGGTGGGATCACACTGCTGACCTTTTGGTTAGCACCTGAGCTCTTAACTACTGCGCCACCAGGGCTGCTTTTGGTTCATGATACTTACCCTTTTTGATATAAAGATTAAATATTTCATACCTCGTCTATTGTGTTGTTTTTTTCAAAGCTTAACATCTGAAGTTTAAAATGTAGGTGTTTATAAGATGGGAATCTCAGGTAATTGGGGGAAGGAATCTTTCTGAAGCATGCACTGATTTAGTTCCTTTTTTTTAGGGTGGGGATGAGAGGTTATCAAGTGTCGCCATTAATCTAAGAATACTTTCTGTTGGGTGTGTTAGCTTGGTATAAAATGTTAATTTGTAAGAGCCATAAATTGAGGTCTAGCGAAATCGTTTTATTCCGATGTGATTTTACAAGCCACCATTTATGCTTTATATGACTTTAAATATGATTTAATTTGAAGCACTGGTGTATTTGAAGATGTTGAGACTACATTCATGCATCTGTAGCAGTGGTTCTCAGTGGGGCTGATTTTGCCCTCAGGGAACATGTGGCAATGTCTAGGACATTTTCAGTTGGCATAACTTGGTGGGAGGTGTGCGTGCTACTGGCATCTTGTAGGTAGAAGCAGGATCACAGCTAAACATCCTGCAAAGCATGGAAAGCCCCCAGCCCTCAACAAAGAAGAAACCCTGATCTACACCGATGCGTGTTTCCATACAGACAAGTGTATTTTTCTAAAACCGTAATTTAACGTGCTTGGGGGATTTTTATGGTGGGGCTCGTAATGCTTCTGTCCTGACACTTGGTGATTCTCGTGTCTTCCTCGTTTGTGCTCTGTAGCGTATGTAGTAAACCAAAACAACCGAACCAGTTGCCGCTGGGTTGATTCGGACTCAGGGCAGCCCCGTGTGTGTCGGAGTAGAACTGTGCCCTTAGGGTTATCAGTGACTGATCTTTCAGGAGTAGATCGCCAGGTCTTTCTTCTGAGGCATCTCTGGGTGGACTCTAAGTGTCAACCTTTTGGTCGGCAGCCAAGCACATAAACCATTTGTACCATTCTATATACAGTAAGGGCTTCCTGAAATCACTAGTCATATTTTATAACTTGTATGGAAACTCAGCGGGGAAATATTAGGTTGGTTTTTATTGTGACCTTTGTAAACATTATCCTGGCTTAGAGAAAAGGTATGTTTGTAAAAACTCTGGAAAATAGATGTTTACAAATCTTTTATGCTTATTTAAAGAACACTTTTACTTGGCTGAGTATTTATTAATAACCTGATACATATTTGTTGATTGTAGAAGCTTTAATAAGGTACTTATCCCTGTAACAATGCAAAGTCCACAGTTCCATCTTGAATTCTAGTTTAAGGGCAAGAGCTTAAATTACTGCATACTGGGGGAAATTTGTAATAGTCATTTGATACATTTATCCATGCTTTTCTATGTTTTTAAATTCCCATTTTTAGACAAGATTAGGAAAATTAAACTTGTAGAGTACATACCTCTTAGGACATACGCCCTTTAAAGTATTTTGTGTATCTTTTTATTAAGTGAAAAACGATGATTTTCATTTCCCCAGACTGTTCTCTTTGCTCCACGTTTAAGTTCGTAAATATTATGGAAGACTGACATGGCATCCATTCAGTTGTGATACCGACTCTAATTGATTCTTAAGTAATATAATGTCATGGCTCAGTGACCACTTCCTAATGAGTTGTTGAAATGCTGGTTTGGAAACAGAACTCCTTGAAACCAAGCATCTCTAACATGTGTATCTGTAACACAGAGAAATCAGCTTGGCCTTAGGAATATTTTATATGTAGCTGCGAGTTTAGTATTTAGTAAAAAGGATGAGGCATAAACCCAGAACATTATAAGGAAACCAGAGCAACCCCTGATTGGCTGATAAGTTTGGATTCTGTATTTACAGTTCCTAATTGGAGCCCTGGTGGTGCAGTGGTTGAGAGCTCGGCTGCTAACTAAAAGGTCAGCAGTTTGAATCTACCAGCCACTCCTTGGAAACCTTATGGGGCAGTTCTATCTACTCTGTCCTGTAGGGTCGCTATGAGTCGGAATCGCCTTGACGGCAATGGGTTTGGTCTAAACTTTGAAAAGCAGCTGTATTTCTTATTCTGAGGCATTTGAAGGAGTGAATATCCTCTAATTTTTTTTCCCTATTGATTGGTCATCTTGTTGTGACGCTAGCTGTGTTAAGGTTAGCAACAGATACACGTTAGCCATTTTCGCAACAGCTTAGATTCTTCATCAGCATTCAGTGATACTGGAGTTTAATTATAGCAACCCTGATTCCTTCACACAGCTCGTCAAAGGCAGCACCAGGGACAGAGCATTTCACAATTACACCGTTCACATCTCGGTGTCCCATGCGTTGAAACGAGCATGGTGGAAAGACAGTGCGTGATCTTGCGCTCCAGGGTGTGGGTTGAGGATTCAGGACGTGGAATGAACTGGAGGGGAGGAAAGGTTGAGAGCAGGGTTGCTTTGTTAGCGCAGCATCACACAGCTGTGGCCAAGCTCCAGATCAGATGGGGAGTAGTTGTGTAGATGAAGGCAGTTTACTTAACTTCACCAGGAGCAGAGCGTCGGTTATAATCAAGACCATGGGATTCGCCAGCTGTACTCACCATTGAGCAAGGCTGGTCGTGATTCTTCTTGGCCAAAGGTTTACAGGGTGATTCTGTTTTGAGTTTTAATTCTGTGTTGGTTTGGAAGAAGGTGACAAGGTGTTTGCTTTCCCAGTAATTCATGTTATATTTTCATTTTATGATCTAAGCGTGTGATGTCTCAGCTAAGGCATTTAAGTCTACTCATTAAAGAAAATTACTTGAATAATTTTATTGAATAAAAAATAATTTTCTTAACAAAAAAGAACAGTTCTATTAAAGATAAAGCTTTTGCCAGATAGGAACTGCATCCACTTTCGGTCTTATAGTTGACGTTTGGACACGTCTCTGATTTTTCTTAGCAGCTGAGAAAAGTGAAAGGATAAAAATATTGGTTACCGTGTCGGAGAAAGTATGGTTTATATTTTCAAAGATCCTTCAACCTAGAGAGACTATATGTTTATCTGTTCATACGCTGGGCTCTACGGAGGAATCAGCATGTCTCACTGAAGCTGTTTTACATACGAAGACAAAACAGCCAAGGCAGGAAGTTTTTCAAGAAAGACCAATTAAAATGTAGCTCTTTAGAGATCATTTTAAATGGTCAAATTATTTTAAAATGCCACTTTGAACCCAATTTAAGATTCTTATGTCCTAGTTTAGCTAACTAGTCATCTGACTAATATCTAGGTTATCTAACAAGTATCCTTAGGGTCCAAATGAGTGTTGGAAATACAGCTTGAAAAATGAACTTGGAACGATGTGATGAATCTGTCGGGCCTTAGAATATGACAGTGGAAGGTAACAGATGGGAACTTGCTGTTCCAATTCGAGGGTATAGAAGTGACCTAATAACCTTAACCAAACCAAAACCAAATCCACTGCCATCACGCCGATTCAGACTCATAGCGACCCTAGAGGACAGAGTGGAACTGCCCTATAGCGTTTCCAAGGAGCGGCTGATGGATTTAACTGCCGACCTTTTGGTTAGCAGCTGAGCTTTTAACAACTGTGCCATCAGGGCTCCTAATAAACTTAAAGGAAGATGGAAATATAAATATGTATATTATCAAGTAACGTTGCTTTTTAAGTTTATAAAACTTTCTGAAAGATGACGGAAAAGTATCTGACGCATTTCAAAAATAAACTTGGTATGTTGTTGTCGTGTGCCGTCCAGTTGATTCCAACTCACACAGACCCTGTAGGACAGAGTGGGACTGCCCCACAGTGCTTCCAAGGCCATTTATGGACACACATTGCCACATCTTCCGAGGAGCAGTTGGAGGGTTCGAATCGCTGACCTTTTGATTAGCAGCTGAGTGTTTAACCTCCGCACCACCAGGGCTCTTTAAACGTGATGTGTACGGCGTATATTAGAGTTGTGTGCTGATCTCTGGGCATCATTGGCTTACAGAAACAAAATGGGGAAACCACTGGATAAAAATCCAGAGCATTCCTATTAAGTCAGCTTTGGAAAGCATTTCAGTTAACGGACTGTTTTGTTTAAGTCTCTGTTCTTTATGTATAATGAGATATTTATGTTTCTGAGTGAATTTCGTTTTCCTGTTTTTCAGTTTTAGAAAGAGCGTTTTCACTACATAAAGCACATTCGATAAAGGTCATGGAAAATACTTTCCAGTTGGTGAGAAATATCATACCTCCTCTAACCACCAAAAAGTACAAAGGACAAGATGGAAGAATAGGCGTAGTTGGCGGCTGTCAAGAGTAAGTTACAAATGTAAAATGTGAGTTAGTGCTTTATCTCTCTCTCTCTGTCTTTGTGTGTATGTATATATGCACGTGTGCGTGTGTGTGCGTGTGTGTGTGTGTGTGTGTGTATGTATCTACCTACCTGTCTATGTCTCTATTTGGACTCCAGAAATCATTTCTAAACACAGTCTGATATTATGACACTCAGTGTTTTTCAGTGATGAGCTTTCTGATTATATACGAAAAAAACTCTAAGATGCGTTGATTGAATTGTTCACTGATATGTTTTGCCTGTGGTGGGGTGATGAAACTATTTTCTCCTATTTTATGTTCTCTGTATTTACCAGACTTCATACTATAATCTTGTGTTACTTTTATAATCAGGATAGAAGTGCTCAGCGTCTGTTTACTAGATCAATTTAAAGATATTCCTGGAAGTTATTTATAAAATTGGACGGATCTTCACTTTCTTCAGGGTCCGCTTTACCCTTTCGTTTTATATATGTTACGCTATGTTGTTTGCACATAAAGATTTATAATTTGTCCTTTTTTGCCAGTGGTATCTGCTGCTGTTGACTTAAATTCTGCTATAATTACTACTTCTGTTTTTGCTTACTTCCGTTTACATTTATGTGCTGTCTCTTTGCCTGTCCTTTTATTTTAAATTGTTCATCATATATGTGGAGCCCTGGCGGTGCAGTGGTTAAGAGCTCGGCTGCTAACCAGAAGGTTGGCAGTTCACATCCACCAGCTGCTCCTTGGAAACCCTGTTCGACTTGATGGCAGTGGGTTTGGTTTTGGTCATTCATGTAGTAAAGGAGTCCCTGGGTGTCACAAATTATTAAGTACTGGGCTAGTGCCAATCGAGAAGTTGGCAGTTCCAACCCACCTAGAGGTGCCTCAGAAGACAGGCCTGGCGAGCTGCTTCCAAAAGGTCACAACCTTGAAAACTCTATGGAACAGTTCAACTCTGCACAGACAGGTCCGCCATGAGCCGGAACTGACTCAGTGATAACTAACAAGGACCACAGTCACGTGGTTAGGTATATTTGTTATAAACAAGGTATAGCTAGATTTTGTTTCTCAACCCAGCCTGACAGTGTCTGCTCTTTTCAATAGGGGAAATAAGTCTATTCACATTTAGAGTCTCCCTGATGTACTCTTGGAGCCCTGGTGGCACAGTCATTAAGAGCTCAGCTGCTAACCAAAAGGTCAGCAGTTCGAATCCAGCAGCCGTTCCTTGGAAACCCTCTGGGGCAGTTCTCCTCTGTCCTCTAGGGTCACAAAGAGTCGGAATCGACTCAACAGCAACGGGTGTGGTTTTTTGGTTTTGGTTTGTTGGTTATCAAAGGAGCCCTGGTTGCACAGTGGTCAGAGAGCTTGGCTGCTAACCGAAAGCTCGCTGGTTTGAACCCGCCACCTGCTCTGTGGGAGAAAAGACCTGTCGATCAGCTCCCGTAAAGATTTCAGCCTTGGAAACCCTATGGGGCAGCTGTGCTCCGTCCTGTAGGGTCGCTGTGATTCGGAGTCAGCTCACTGGCAGTGGGTTTGGTTGTGAGCCGCTCCTCTCCTGTCCTTGTTTCCTCCCATTGCTTGTTAGAGTCACATGTGTCCTCCACGTGTCTGACATTTCCTTCGTGATTTCTGTCTCCTTGGTGGCTTTTGGCTGTCTGTTTTAATGTTCTCCCACTTGATCTTGCAAACTTGAAAGTCATGCTTTTCAGTTCCTTTTTTATGAAAACTCCTTTTATTCCTGCATTTACTGGAAATCTCTCAAAGCCTTTTATTAAGCTTTTCCTTTAGCTCTGCAGTCAGTTCATCCCTCCGGGGGGGATGTCTCCATTCCTGCACCCCGTTCTTCGTTTTTTTAAAAGAACAGTAACACCTATCTGTTGTATTGGTGACGGGTGTTTGTAGTTCCAGATACCTGTGATGGGCTGATGCTTGCTTGCTGTGTAGGGCCTTCAGAGCTCTGCCCTGCCCTGTCAGTGGGCACTTCCTAAAACCCAGACCACTTCTGCCTGTTATCCAGGCAATGCCTTCTGACAAAGACGTGCCCTCAAAATTCTGGGCTCTGCTGGCTCTTTTGGAATCAGGCGATTGCTTCCCAGTAAGTCTCTTCTGTCCAGGAGGGAGATAGTTCCCTTGGGTGTATTTTTTTCCAGCCTTGGGTGTATTTTTTTCCAGCCATTATCAAAAAGAGTTTAAAGCTAAAGACGATCATTCGTTCCAAGGATGGGGCACCCCATTCTTCTTAACGCATTACTCTATTTCTCTGCCTGCTCCTGGCTTTCTCAGCTCCAGCTGATAATGTCCCTCCAGTTTGGGTGAGCTCTTGGGCAGTGGAAGACTAAGTTTTCACCTTTGTGAGTCAGCTGTGAACAGCTTCACCCAGCACACTGCAGCCCTTGAGCACCGGGAGGCTGTCTGCCTGGGAGGATCACGGACCTCTCAAAGGCCCGCAGAGCCCAGCTTCTGGCTCTCGTCTCACTGTCGCTGGTTCTGCAGTTCCCACCTGGTTCCCACCTGGTGCTGACAGGAAGCAAAGACCCATCCTGATCTCTTTAGTCCAGAAATCCTGGTCTATGCTCAGATGTACCCAATGGGCTGTGCCCTTCCTCCCATGAGAGAGTTGAGAGAGGGTCAGGAGTGTCATTTCTCAAATCCCCCATCCTGCCTTGTATTTTGGGAAGCCTTTATGGCAAGAATTGGCCCTCAGTTTTCCCTTTGAGATACCCATTGCCGTCCCATTGCCGTCAAATTGATTCCGACTCACAGCGACCCTAGAAGACAGAGTAGAACTGCCCCATACGGTTTCCAGGGAGCGGCTAGTGGATTCAAACTGCCGACCGACCTTTTGGTTAGCAGCCAAGCTCTTAACCACTACGCCACCAGGGCTCCCCTTTTGAGGTAAGTTTAGTACTATAGTGTTTTGGAGTACGATTATCTAATTTAAGATACGTTTGTTAGCTTTAGGGACTAACCTTTAAAAATGGAAATATCCTTATTCTGATTATAAAAAAAAGTAGTATCTGCTTATTGTAGAAAAATTCTAGCACCACAGAAACATATAAAGTGAAAACCCTACAATATTCCACATAGTAATAAAAAATTATTGTCACACTGTTAGCCTTCCAGACTTTTCTGTGCTTCTGACTTTTTTACTTCATGCTGTATCGTGGATATTGTTCATGTTGATTCATACGGATCTGTTCTTTATAAATGAATGTGTGGTATTTACAGCAAGGATGGGCCCTAATTTCTTCAACTAATTCTCTGTTGACTGACAATAGGTTACTTCTTTTTTTTTTTTTCTATCAATAGTACGACTCTAGACATCACTGTGCATAGACACGTTATGTATGTATCCAGTTACTTCTGAAGGATTAACTCCTAGAATTTTCATTGGATCAAAATACATACACATTTTTTGTAGAACAAAATTCTAGCTCACAAAAAAACGACCAGATTTAACTGGTCTGACAGAGACTGGAGAAACCCTGAGAATATGGCCCCCAGACACCCTTATAGCTCAGTATTGAAGTCACTCTTGAGGTTCACCCTTCAGCCAAAGGTTAGACTGCCCCATAAAACAAAACAAGACTAAATGGGCACACCAGTCCAGGGGCAAAGATGGGAAGGCAGGAGGGGACAGGAAAGCTGATAATCGAATCCATGGTCGAGAAGGGGAGAGTGTTGACATGTCATGGGGTTGGCAACCAGTGTCACAAAGCAGTGTGTGTATTGTTGAATGAGAAACTGGTTTGCTGTTCTGGTTCTGTTTCTTGGTTATGGGACACCCACTAAGTGTTGATCACCGTGCTGTATGCTTCATGTCTATATCGTTTGTTGATAATCTGGGGTCCAAGCCTCGTTCTCCGAGTTTGTGACTCTCAACATCTTGTTTTCAGGTACACCGGAGCCCCGTATTTTGCAGCAATCTCCGCTCTCAAAGTGGTATGTCTACTTAAAACTGCTTTATGGGGTTTTTCTAGTGCAGCGTTGGATTATTTAGATACAATTGAAGCAAATGTTTTCTGATAGAAATCTAAATAGCATCTTAGGGTAAAATCCTGGGTAATAGGGAAACCTTTAAATCTCTCCTGACTTCTTGTCCACTGACAAGATAAGTTGAGTTGAAGCCTTTTTTTTTTTTTTTTTTAAACAAAAATTTTATTAGTATCATACTTCAGAAAAACTACCTGGGAAGCTTTCTCAGGCCCTAAATTACGCAGCTGAAATCTATTAACTAGGCCATTTCCCTACATCTTGACCGAGTCCTGACTGCCCAGGCAGAACAGGTGATGGGAAGGGGGCCGTAGTCCTCAGCCGTATGGCTTCCTGTGAGCCTTTGTAGGTGATGAAGTTTCCGGAGGGAAATGTAACTTCCGAGTCTGAGGGAGACCGAGGTAACGTATGGCAGCGGAAATCCCACTTTATTGTAGGCATTTCCTTTATGCCGCTTGTCCTTTTCCTGAGGCACACAGCTGTGGTTTAACTATCATTGTTTAATTTTTTTCCTTTCTTTTACGTGTAACGCTGAGTAATTCGACTGGTGGACCACCCTGTGTCTTACTGGGAAAAGCCTATGCTGACCACCAGTTTTGGGGTTTTTGTGAGGAAGCTCGTCTGTTCTAAGTCGGCCTCTGGTACCTCCCTTCTCAGGGTGCAGATCTGTCGCACGTGTTCTGTGCCAAGGAAGCCGCGCCCGTGATCAAGTCCTACAGCCCGGAGCTGATTGTCCACCCCGTCCTGTGAGTGTGCGCGTGCACTGGGGGCGTCTTTAGACACGTAGCATTTACGCTCATAAACTACGTGTCTGCTCTTTGCGGAGTTTGTAGGTAGGTGCTGTCTGAAGAAGTCAGAAAGCTGTCATTAACCCATTGTTCTGTGATCAGAATCAGACAAATACTCGTGGGAAACAACGTGGGAATAGACTGGAAACACCGAGGCGATAGGTCGGGAGCTGTTCCTCCGTGGTCCGGATGCCGGTGGCTGTTCCATGTCCACCCTTGAGGCCTATGGGATGTGGCTGGATTTCCCGGACCAGGAGAGTTCCTTGGGCCTATGTATGTGGCCAAGGAGCCCTGGTGGTGCAGTGGTTAAGAGCTCAGCTGCCAACCAAAAGGTCGGCTGTTCCCACCCACCAGCGTCTCCATGGGAGAAAAGACCTGGCGATCTGCTCCTGTAAAGATTACAGCTGAGGAAACCCTACGGGGCAGTTCTGCTCTGTCATCTAGGGTCGCTATGTGTGGGAGTTGACTCAGCAACACACAACAACAACATGTCTGTGGACAGTGGATAGAAAACGAGGGGTCTGTCAGACAGCTGACAAGACCGCTCATTCGTTCAGCCGCTGTGTGCTGTGCAGACGCTGTTCCAGGTCCCACGGACGCAGCCTTGAACCAAGCTGATGAAATACCTGCGTCTGTGGAGTTACCCTCCGGAGCAGCACTTCCAACAGAAATTTCTGGGATGAAGGACACGTTCTCTGTCTATGTCATCCAGAAGGGCAGCCGCCAGACACATGTGGCTAGTGTGACACAGGAAATGAATTTTTAACTTCATTTAATTAAATCTAAATAGCCACATGTGGGTAACGGCCACTCTGTTGGGCAGTATTGTTCTAGAGACGAACAAGATGTAGTATGTCAGATGGGATAAGAATCCTGGATAGAAATTAATCAGGGAAAGGGGATGGGCATGCTAGCTGTATGCATGTGTGTGTATTGCGCTTTTAAACAGGGTGGCCAAGGAAGGCTTTGGAGAGTGACGTTCAGGGGAAGCCCTGAGGAGGATGAGAGAGAGAAGCCTGGTGGCTGTTTCCAGGTGGGCGTGTTCTTTACCTGCAGCAACTCTATTTAGCCACGTAGAATTTACACTAAAAAACTAAGTATCCGTTTAGTTCAGCTCTACATTGTTGTTAGCTGCTGTCCAGTAGGTGCCAACTCATATGCACCACAGAACGAAACACTGCCCGGCCCTGCGCCATCCTCACAATCGTTTTTATGCTTGAGCCCATTTTTGCAGCCGCTGTGTCAGTTCATCTCATTGAGGGTCTTCCTCTTTTTTGCTGACTCTCTACCAAGCATGATGTCCTTCTCCAGGGACTGGTCCCTCCTGTTAACATGGCCAAAGTAGGTGAGACGTAGTCTTGCCATCCTTGCTTCGGAGGAGCATTCTGGCTCTACTTCTTCCAAGACAGATTTGATCGTTGTCATGGATTGAATTATGTCCCCCCAAAAATGTATGTATCAATTTGGCTGGGTCATGATTCCCAGTATTGTATGATTGTGTACCATTTTGTAATCTGATGTGATTTCCTTATGTGTTGTAAACTCTATCACTATAATGTAATAAGATAGATTAGCGGCAGTTATACTGATCAGGTCTACAAGTTTAGATGGTGTCTTAAGCCAATCTCTTTTGAGATATAAAAGAGAGAAGCGAGCACAGACACATGGGAACCTCATACCACCAAGAAAGCAGTACTGGGAGCAGAGAGCATCCTTTGGACCTGGGGTCCCTGTGCTGAGATGCTCTCAGACCAAGGGAAAACTGATGCATCACAAGGACCTTTCTCTAGAGCTGACGGGGAGAGAAGGCCTTCCTCTGGAGCTGATGCCTCAAATTTGACTTGTGGCCTACTGGCCTGTGAGGGAATGAATTTTTCTTTGTTAAAAGCCATCCACTTGTGGTATTTCTGTTGGAGCAGCCCTGGATGCCTAAGACCGTTGTTCTGTATGGGTGAGAGCAGGGACTATGGTTAGTAAACTCCATCAGAATACTTAATGGTGATCTGTAGGGTCGCTGAGTTGGAATAGACTCGACGGCAGTGGGTTTGGTTTTTTTACTATGGGATCAAATTGACAATAGCGACTGGAAAGATTAGGCAGGAAACTCAGGGAGGAGTGAGTTTATGCTAATGGGGAGGAACAGCTCAGACGAGGGTGAGAATGGTTGCCCTTGAAGAATGCGATTAGTGTCACCGAATTGTACACGTAGCAACGGTTGAATGGATGTATGTTCTGCTGTGTATGTTCTCAACAACAAAAAAATAAAGCATATATATTTACTGTGAAATAGGAAGAGGTCTGATGCAAAAATATGAGGGAATCAGTAGTCAAAGTATAATTTAAACTTTCTTAAGTATTAGATTGGTTATTCCAAGCTTTACCTTTTGGAAGTTTCTAATCTGGAGGCCGAAACGGATGCAAAGTGTCTAGCTGTCCTTCTGGGCTGAGAGCGTGTCTACGTGGTCAGCCCCACGCAGCGGGTCTCTGGCCCACGGGGGGATGTCCGGGACGGGTCAGCAGCTACAGAGTGGAGTTGGCTTGTTTGGTCTTTCATGAACTGACGCAGAGTCTTGTTGGGTAGCTTAGTGTGTTAGACTGGGGCTCACATCCTGGACTTTACAGCCGGGTGGTGGGTGGGTTTCTTCAGATGTGCGGGTTTCTGCCTAAATGGAAACACCTGTCTTGCAGGAGTGTTGTAAACGTCACGGCAGGCAAGCCACGTATGGTGCCTCAACGCGCCTTTCCTGACAACACGCTGATGTCTGGGGCTGATAAACTGAAACCAAACCCGTTGCCGTTGAGTCCAACTCATAACAACCCTATAGGACAGAGCGGAACTGCCCTGTCGGGTTTCCAAGGAGCGCCTGGTGGATTTGAACTTTTGACCTTTTGGTTAGCGGCCAAGTTCTTAACCACTGCACTGCCGGGGTTTCTGTGGGGCTGATAGAGTGGATGAAATTGAAACCTGAGTTCAACTCTTTATGAAAACTTGGAACCTATAAATGGTACTAATAGAGCTTAGTAACCTCAGAATCAACAAGGCCAGAAGAGTTCAAGGTTTAGGTCACAGGCCTTGTGTGTAGTAAAACCCCCAAAACCAGACCCGTTGCTGTCAAGTCGATTCCGACTCATAGCGACCCTATAGGACAGAGTAGAACTGCCCCATAGGGTTTCCAAGGAGCGGCTGGTGGATTCAAACTGCCGACCTTTTGGTTAGCAGCAGAGCCCTTAACCACCACGCCACCAGGGCTCCGTACCTAGCCCACTACCTTGAAAATCACCGACCATCAAATCTTTGTTGAGTCGACTTGAATTAAAACTTGCTTTGTCCTGTATTAAAATTGATTTGCATTCCCCGGGCAGGTGACAAGATGAAGGTACCAGCTTCAGATGACAGACTTCTGTGGGTGATTAGAGGTGTGAATCAGCACAGGCATTCTGAATTGTAAACGCGCACCTCTGAGGTGACTGTGTCCGCCCAGCAGGGAAGGAGTGATTAGCTTCGTGAATAACCGTGCAGTTGAAGCTTGGAAAAACTAAGCCCTGTGCGGACCCTGGGCCCAAAGACAGCGAGGCGCGCACTTGTAACTGAGTGTGGTAAGGACTGGGGAGGCTGTGATGGGAGTGTTTGTAGGATGTGAGGACAGCAGGGCCACCCAGTGCAAACCCACGCTTTGGAGAAGGCTCTCTAGAGCGTCCCCCACCCCAAGTGGGTCTTGAAGGATAAGCAGATAGAGGAGGTTTCCAGGCTCAAGCAGCAGCTTCAGCTGCTTGAACAACTGGCCCTTGTTAGAGAGGGCAGGGAGTCCCTGGATGGTGCAGAGGGGTAACGTGCCCAAGGTTGGAGGTTTGAGTCCATCCAGAGGCACCTTGGAAGAAAGGCCTGATGATCTATTTCCGAAAAACCATCCATTGAGAATCCTGTGGAGCACGGTTCTGCTGTGACACGTGGGGTCGCCATGAGTTGGAGTTGACTCGATAGCAGCTGGTAAAGAGGAGCAGACGATGTTGGGTGCCGTTGGTGTGACGGCTCCTGCTGTACTGGTGTACTAGCTGGACTTCCAGGTACACGTGTGTGTTTTTTATATCCTTCTCTCTGTCTTTTATCTGCATTTCTCAGTTAAGTGAACAGAAATGCAAGGCAACGGGGTTTTGGTTTTTAGGCCCAAACCTTTGGCATGCCTTTTTTTTCCTTGAATTAGAAAACAACAACAAATCAGTTGCTGTTGAGTGAATTCCAACTCATAGCGACCCTACAGGACAGAGCAGACCTGCCCCATAGGGTTTCCAAGGAGTGGCTGGTGGATTCAGACTGCCAGCTTTTTGGTTAGCAGCCAAACGCTTAACCACTGCGCCACCAGGGCCCCCCCTGCCTTTTTTTTTTTTTTTTCTCGAATACTTATTTAAAAAAACTAGGAAAGAAAAGTAGAATACTAAGTGAAGGCATGTTGAAAATACATTATTTAGTAATGGATAAAACTAAGCCATTCCTGCTGTACCCAGGGGATTCCAGATCCCTTCCAGTATCATTGAAAATAACTGCGATCAGCGCTTTTCCTCATTTCACTTGCAGGCTTACACAGTTCAGTCGCATTTCTTTTCTTGATCCTAATCAGTTAAAAACGGTATTTTACATTTTTTTTACTTTTTCTGGTAGGGCGTTCTTTTGACTTTGCACGGGTAACCCTTGGTAATTTTCTCAGATTGTCTGCCTTTAGGGTGAATCTGGTTGTGTTGATCTTTGTGCTTTAAATTCTTCCCTGGTGCCCCATTGCCTTTGGGGACCCTGCAGGACGCGCCCCGCGCTCTCTCCCCACCTGGTCTCCTGGCTCTCCAAGCCCCAGGCTGTGCCTGCACTGGGCAGCTCCCTCCTCCCCTGACGGGCTGCAAGGCTCCTGTCACCTGTGGACGTCTGGTCCGGCAGCGGAACTGCCCCTACGCCCCTCGCCTGGCCCGTC